TTTTAACACAAGACAACAACTACATCTACCTCACAGAACTCACCAATCTACATTCAAAGAAAAATTCTACAGCTAGGAAAATACACACTTAAAAGTAAAGTACATTACTTAATGAAGGACTAAAGGACTGAACTCACAAAAATTTATTAGTGTGTACTAAATGTAAATGAAAAACTGCATTATTTAGTAGTAGTTCGATCCTTCAATCTAACTCACAGAACTACATTCAAAAAGAAATTAAAAAGGAAGATACAGAGACAAATCACTTATAATAATTCATCAATGAAATTCTTTACAAAGTGAGCCAACAAAGAAGATAATAGGAAAAAAAAAACAACTAACCTCTATCTTGGATTGTTCAATCTGCAGTGAGGTAGGAGAATAGGGTTTTTCATAGACAAAGCATCAACAATAAACTGTATGCCTCCTCTCAATGCCACCATCTTGAGATTTGATGCAAATCAGAGAAAAATTTTGAAGCACGAAAGAAAGAAGGATGGATCTTGAGGGAAAAATTTTGAAGCACGAAAGAAGGAAGGATGGATTGTTGCGCGAGAGAAAGAAGGCGAGATTTGGTTTTGCCCTAGGGTCTGAGAGAATATGGGTGTCTAGAGGGAAAAGAGAGAAAGAAAGGAAGGCTTTTATACGCGTGATTAGGTTTTTAGGGATAACATTAAAAAAATAAAATAAAATGCTATACAAAAAAGCTATAAAAGATGGTATTTGTTGCAGTGATATTGAACTTCCACAAAATGTTCGAACTTTTGTTCTTCACTTAGTTATAATTCTTTAGAGGGAAAATTGAAAGACATTGTTATAAAGGTTGCTTATTTTTTTTATTCAATCTAAAAATAAACAACCATTAAAGGTCATAAATGAAGCAAACTCCAAAAGGATTGAAAATTTAAATAAACATCACTTACATGTCTCCACCTTTACAGTAGCAAGTTACAATGCATATATAATCCCCCTACACAAACGGCCTCTTTACTAAAAGAGTGAGGTAACAACTATGAGAAGGAGAAAAGGAAGAAAGGAAATAGAAGGCTTTGTAGCCTCATGAATAGGTGTAGTTTCATTCAGATACTAATCACCGACAACATGCTTTCTAGGGGGGCACCATGTGCTTCCACTCCTCAGTGTTATAGCTTTAATCATGCATGCATTTCGAGTTTAGTTCAATGTGTTTGTCTAGATTAAGCATATTTAAACTCCAATTAATCATTCTAATCATACATACAAATTGCTCTCCAAATGCCCCAAAATGCCTGAAATTTAGAGGTATGAATAAATAATTTATATAACTAAATAATAAA